TGCGTATGCCCAACCACCGACTGCCTCGAAGAGCTTTGTTTTGTAGTGTAGGAGTACGTTGGAAGAAAGTTAGGGGCTGCCAAACCAAAACATGGCAGAAATCCATGAAGTCATTGACGAGTGGACTTAGCCATGTCGGTAGGTGTCGACTACCTGGTTGGGGTCCGCGAGATGATAATAATCGATGGTTAGAGACCTTGAATGACATGGCTCAAAGTCGTTCGCAATGGCGCCAGTGCATTTATGCTTTGTATTCTCTCAAATCCTAATCTTCTGGATTCTTCAACACCTCTAGTTTTGACTTTCTAAACTTTTCTCATTAAATCATACTTCTAATCCTAACCTCTTCGATTACTTCCAATACCTTTACTACCTCTTCTACTATTGGATTTGAATTGACAATTATATCTCTGTGCTGATGTGGTATGGCAACATGAAGTTCTACGTTGCATCTGATTGACTGACTGTCTGATTTCAATCAATCCAGGGAATTGCGCAACCTCACCCATTGTCTTAGGTAGATAGATGTCTACACCCAACAGGGTTGGACTCCATTGGTCACGAGTTCTCATCAGAACAGACTGAATTCGCTTACGAAGCTAGTCACTAGTGAGCAGGTTTTTATGATTTTCATCAGAGTTGTGGAGATTGTTGAGTTTCATTAAAATGATGAATCGATCAGTGTTAAAAATTAACGTTTAATACCAACTCAGTGGTCTGAAGATTAGGCATTCGCGCACGAGACCGAAGGTGCTAGGTTGGATTCCTGCGAGTAGGGGTCGTGGATGTGCACTGCGATTAATGAGGAAACGGTCATTTGGTGTTTCTGCGTTTCCGAAAGGTGGACTAACAATGATCGATTCCTCATTTCAATGGAACTCAACAATATTCACAACTGTAGAGTGAAAATAAATTTTATTAACATGACACTTGACTATTACTAGCTAACAGTTAACAAGAAATGATGATTGAATATTTATAAATTGGGATATCGATTTTGTTCTTCATATAACTAATGAAAACCCAAAGATAACTAGCCAACTTACTTTTCGTTAATACTGAAATTTCTCAGTAGGGAATAAATTTTAAATCTTCCAGTCTCCTCCTAAAGAATATATTCAGACTATTGGATTAGCATCCGATAGTCTACATTGTTGTTGTTTTAGTCAATCAACGAGTGTTATTCATTGACTTTAGTGAAATACTTATCTTATTTCTGATACCAACTTAGTAATCTAAAAGTATTCGACTCATTATAAGGCCTGTTTTTGTTATAAGAGTTGAACAGTCTCTATCCGTCACTTAGTTAGCTGCAATGTAGAACTTGCTACACACGTAGATCAGTTCAGGTTGCAGTACTATATTAGTAAGACATGTAGTTTAAGGTTTCTAATCATTGGTTACTGATGTCTGACGGACCCCGACCAGGCAGTCTACAGCTACTAACATGGCTCAGTCCAGTGGTCACTGACTTCATGGATTTGTAAAATATTTTGGTCTGGTTGTCCCTATCTTTCTTCCAGCCTACCCCCAAAACAGCAAAACGGAGCAGTCGGTGGTTTGGCATTCTTAACGCACGTCTCAATCACATCAACTGATGAAGATTCACTACTTCATCTATTGATCTACCATCCTTACCTAGGACCTGTTTCCTAACAACAGCATTGCTTTATTCGATTGTCCCAGGATATACAAACAGTGCTTACAAGGCACCTATGATCGTAAACCATTAACGTACAGATATCGTCTAATCATACTGGCCAAGTTTCAGCCAAATATCTTGTCAAGGTTGGTAAAAGCCAATCGAACCTTCTGTGTTCGTGCTGAGATTTCGTTAAAAAACCATTCCTTCATGACTGATGAGACTCTGAAGATAAGAAAAAGTGGTCGGTCAACACGTTCATATACTTCACTCTTTATCATTAATTCAGGTGCCGATACTAGCCAATCAATCATAAAGCAACACTTTACACAGTAGCATTAATAATGGAGAAGATTACAGTTAATAAGGAAACAAACAAACTCCAATAAACACGATCTAATGAGATAATTTTTTTTTAAAAAAAAGAAGAACAAAAGAACAATCTCTATTAAATCACTTACATTCTAATAGATTATTTTTCTTCTATGTTTAATCCACATTAATTCTTCGTTGAAAGCAACAAAAAAAACGAAATCATATACATCTTTACACTAAAAGATTAAAACCTCTCTATCAATGAATACACCAATATTAATTAAAAATAGATGTCAGTCAGTCAGATGCAACGTAGAACTTCGTACGTAAGTACATCAGTTTATGTCGCCATACCACATCAACACAGAGATGTAATTGTCAATTCAAATCCAATAGTAGAAGAGGTAGTAGAAGTAATCAGAGAGGTTAGGATTAGAAGATATTATTCAAGAAGTATGCTTAAATGAGACAAATTTTGAAAATCAAAACTAGAGTTGTTGAAGAATCCAGAAGATTAGGATTTGAGAGAACACAAAGAATAAATGCACCGACGCCATTGCGAACGATTTTGAGCCATGTCATTCAAGGTCTCTAACCATCGATTATTATCATCTCGCGGACCCCAACCAGCTAGTCGACAATTACCGACATGGTTAAGTCCACTCGTCAATGACTTCATGCATTTCTGCCATGTTTTGGTTTGGCCGCCCCTAGCTCTCTTCCAACCTATTCCTACACTACAAAAGAAAGTTCGACGAGGCAGTCGGTGGTTAGGCATACGCAACACATGTCCCGACCACCTCAACTGATGAAGTGTCATTACTGCGTCTATTGATCTGCCATTCTTACCTAGCACCCGTTTCCTAATAACAGCGTCGCTCACTTGGGTGTCCCACGATATACGAGCAATGCTTCGAAGACACCTATAATCGAAAACCAATAACCTACGAATATGTTCTACTCTCATCGGCCATGTTTAAACAATATATCCATCCATGTTGATCAACTAAATATCATATTAGACACTATCTGTATTGATTTTTTTTTTTTGAAAAAAAATGATATTCTCTTGTCGACAAAAACAAAACAAAACAAACAAACAAGATCAATGTTTTCATTTATTATTCATAATCATGATGGATGGATCAATTCAAATAATATCAAAGAAGGATAAAATAAAAATGAACAAAAAAATGGAAAGAAAATCTGTCAAGAAAAATGTTGTTTTTTCCCTTTTTTTTAAAAGATAACTAAATGATCAACAAATAGGTGTTGTTGGATTATTTAATTCGATATATATTTAAAAATATGATTTATTATTATTATTGATAAATGAATGAATGAAAGCAAAAAACACTGATTGATATGATTGATAATAAGATTTTGTTTAAAATACACTGAAAGCCAGCCAATTTATAATAATTGAAGACATAAAATGAACAATAATCATTGGGATTCATACATATTTATATACATACTGGTACAAACAAATATCCACAAACAGTAATCCTTAATTTATATATTGAACACTTGAAACGAAACATGTTAAATCAAACATGTCTGTCTACACAATGATTTGTATTTCTCTTTTTTTCTGTACAATCAACAAAACAAAAGAAAAGTATTGTACAAGTTTAAAAATAAACTTTTCAATGTCTTATTTGTGTTTGATCAAAATGAAACTGATTGAAAAAAAACGGTGGGGTGGGGGGGTGAGAAATAAACATGTTACATAATTATTATGCAAAAAGAAAAATTGACATTAATTATAAATTCCTTAACCCTATTTCTTGGTATTTTTCTGTTTGTTACAGTTGACGATGTGATTGTAAACGATGTGTGAATAAAGTTAAACAGAAAAACGAACATGTCCCATTCCTGTAGAAAAATGATCGCAGACAAAAACATATATATATATATATATAAATATTTTGATTATTTAGTGTAATTTTTTGTCAAGGAGTTTTTTTCATCCAGCAATTCAATTTTGTTAATGTTTAGAGACATTGAAAAAGGGAATAAATACACAAACAGACAGAGAGAGAGAGAGATTCATAAGTACTTACCTGTTAATAAGAGACTACAATTTACAAATTTATGAAAGTTTTCTTTAGGAAAACAATCAAAAATAAATAATTATCACAGGGTTGAAAATAACTCCTTCATCATCATATATATATATAATATAACATACAAGTGTTAGATGTTCAATTACTACTGACATTAAATGTTCAATGCGTGACTGAAGAAAAACTACTTAAAAAATGGACAGCAAAACCAACCACACAACATGAGTTAAATTATGTGAAGATGGATGCGAATTACAATTTTGTTCAGATAAGACATGAAACGCTAGTGTACTTGTCAACACTACAAGAAATGGCCAATAGTAATAATAATAATAATAATAATTGACTACGTATGGATAACAGAGGAAAAAGGGAAAGTAACAAATGGAAAAAAGACAATGGATTGTTGGTACACAGATTAAATAAATAAATATTTATTTTTGTACAGTGAATATATATATATATATATTAAAATCATGAATCAATCAACCTCTGGATCCTTGTATCGGCACATCTGAAGGTGTTAAATGTCGAACTTCAATCAATCATGCAAAATATACACACACACATATAAGTCAAACAGTGTATCTTTAGTGAACTAACTGTAGAAAGTAAATTGCTCGTGAATTATTAAAATATTATTATGCAATCAAGTTAGAAAATATTATTAGTAGTAACAACAATACTATCATCATCAATCACAAAAAGCAGTTGACAGTAATAATAATGATTACATTTGCTATTTAGTTGAATTAAGTCACAGTTAAGTTGAAGTTTTATTTCATCATGCTACTAGCATAATAGACACTGATGTAGAGAAACAAGTAAAAAGCAAAAGGGAGAGAGGGGGATAAGAGATATGAGTTGAATGGAAGACAAATTGTTGCATATATATATTATATATATCACAGATGACTTGAAGTATATGCCAATGATAAAAACTAGGCTGACTGAGTTATCAGTTGATATTTTTTTTATCCATGATTCGATTCAGCAGGTACTGCCACTTCTACCGATGGTGATAGTGATGATGATGTAATCAAATCAGTTGTATTGTATGTTGTTGTTGGAGGTGAACCACATGTTGTTATTGGTGGTGGTACAATAGTATTTTCTGATGAAATCATTGTTTGCAATCTTGGCGCTGTTGTAGTAGTAGTAGTCAGTGAAGTATCCGGTTCTAAATTTAACAAACATGTAGGACAACTAAATGAACGCATAAGCCATTCATCAATACATAGACGATGATAAGTATGTAGACATGGTAGATAACGTACTTCATCACCAAGTTTTAAATCATTCATACATATAATACATCTAAAATAGTAATCAATGACAATATATATTAAGAATTGAATTGAAAATTAATATTCTTTATTGAAACTGTATACAACATTTATTCAATTATTCAATTGAGAATGATTTCATGATTTTATTGTTACATTATGTGCTATCATGGTATGGGGGCTTAGAGTTTTTTATCATTTGAACCAAAGAATAAACGATGATGATGATATAATTGGATCAAATTACCCGACCGTAGCTGCTACCTTGACGTGGTGGTCGGGCTTGCCTATCGTGATGACCCAACCGAGCTATACCGGCTGGAACTTATGTTCCTGAAGGTTCTACCATGCCAGGCAGGTCTATTGGAGAGCGATGAGATTAAAAGCAGCTACCCAAGATCTGAGGGCGAAATCGTACTGCTGACTGCAGAGGGGTGTAACAGTAGTAAGGTGTTTCCCTCGGACAACCAGCATCTGCAGCGATGCTGTCTTCTCACAAGGAAGGAAGGGTTAGAAAAGGTCAGCCCTAAAAATGTCACTCCTCCTTTAACTCACGGATTTCCGTCTCCTTGGGTAAGGGTGCTCACTAAGGGCCTTTAAGAACGGAGCTAATCCTCAAAAAACGTTTCATAAAAAGGCCGTGCGTGATCGGCCTCAAGCAGTTGTCCCTTGGGCTCTGCGGTCACGCACCAACACTAATCTATTTTCCTTTTCAGGTCCCTCAAGATACAACCTTCCACGGTGTGGGCAGCCGGGAAGTGACAACCGTCCTCATACCCGTAACAGCGCGAGAGACCAATCTGGTCGAAATCAAATCCTTCCTACACTCCTTAGTACCTCTCTTATCTCCACGACTAACTCTTCTCACATTCCCTTATCTGACTGCGCTGCTAATGCAAACGATGCGAGTTCACGAAACGTCATTCCTGGTCTCTTGAAACCTCGTTCTAGTCTACATGTTGTGTGCTGAAGTGGTATGGCGACATGAACTGATGTACTGATGTACGTACGAAGTTCTACGTTGCATCTGACTGACTGGATCAAATTGAATTTTGATTAAATTCATGTTAAGTAGATAAGATATCTTAAAATTGTTAATCTACAACTGCAGTTGTTAAGATGTATTGATTAACAACGATCAAGGTACTCCAACTCCACTACTAATTGAACCTTTTGTACTTCAATTAATCCAGTTAAAGCACCGGATGTATGCGTCTCTTAAACAACACCCCCCCCTGCTGCATGAGAAGGCAGTGAGTAAGATTTACTGACAGTGGATGTACACGTGTGGTTAAATGAGAGCATTTTCAGAGGAGGAGGAGGAGAGTGGACTTTTCCCACTATCAACAATTCTAGAGTGTTTGAGGGTATCGGCTTAAGTGTTCCTTCACCACATCAATACACAGAGATGATTAAAAATTATTAAGACAGCTACCATGTTGTTGTCTTTTTGGGTCAGAATATTTGAGGTGATTTGCCGTTTTTTTTCTAGTTCGTATGTCGAACTTTTTATCATCGACTTTTTAGCTTTTTATCGTGCGTTAATTACCTCTTATGCTGTGCTAGATTAACTAATGATTTTATAAATTACAAACCTGACATTATCTTTTATTCGGATATGGTGGTCCAATTTGCTTACAGTGAACCAGTTGAACTATAATGGCTAAAGCACTACTAGCTCTTTTAAGTTCGAACCATTTTTTGGGTAGGGACCATAAGTAGTAGTAAAGATGAGCTGTGTGATGGTGGGTGAAGTTGTACTGCTGACGACTGTACAGAAGGGTTTTTCTCCCGAAAATTGCCCGCATCAATGTTACCTTCTAGCAAAAAAGAGAATCCAAAAAGTTTGACCTTAAATGTAGCCCACCTGAACTGATCCCACATATTCCCACATTGTTACAGGTACAGGCTTTTAAGAATATGAAGCGCTTATAACAATTAACTTTTTGGTTGTCAAGACTATCACTACTAGCGCAGTCTCCTTTTTCACTCCATTCACAACAAGCATCCTCCTTTTTTATTATGGTGAAGAGTGAAGAAGTACCAATTACTCTTCTACTTCTAACAGCACTTATGGATGTGTATTAAACACAAGAGGTGAACGATAAATATATACAAACACACACACACACACACATATATACGTGAATTTTCTTACTCTTGTAATTTTTCTTTATTCATAGGCATATAATTTGTTAAAGGAAGAAATTGAATCATATGAATACGTTTAACAATTTCTATTTGTTCTTCTTCTGTTAAATCCGATGCAAGAATAGGCAAACCTGGGCTAATATGATAAGTAGGCATTTGATGCTGCTGTTATTGTTGTTAGTATGAATAGAAATAAAAATAAAGAGTTTAAATTAGATAAAATAATAAACTTCATATCTATCTCTTAAATGTGTTAACTGGTAAAACTGTTTTTCTATGATTATCCTGGTTTATTTGAACAACTGATTGAACAATCATTGAGATAATAATAATAATTTTAATTTCAAGTTAGTCTAACTCTAATAACTCGTTTAACAATTACATGTATTTGTACTTGGTTTTGAGTTTCAGTCGGTCAGCAACAATGTAGAACGTTGTACGTACGTACGTACATCAGTTCACGTTGCCATACCACAACATTAGCACAGAGAGATATCAAGTCGTCCATTCAAATTCCATAGTAGTAAAGTTGAGGTATTAGCGGTTTTAAAAAGATTAATTAATGATCGAAAATATGATTCAAGAAGTATAACCCGGTGAAGTAAATTTAAAAGAGGGAGAGAGAGAAAAAAACAGTCATGAGGAATTCAGAAGGTTAGAATTTGAGTGAACACAAAGAGTGGATGCATCTGCGTCAGTGTAACCGATTTTGAGCCATATCATCATTTACAAATGTCTCGTACACCCCAAACTGGTAGTCTTCCAAACCTAATAACAAGGCTCAGTCCAGTTGTCAGTGATTTCGTAGAGAGATCTGACATGTTTTTTATTCTGACCAGTTAGTTCTAGCTTTCTTTCAATCTATTCTTATACCATAAAACAGCTCGTTGAAGCAGTCGGTGATGATAATGTTAGACATCATTATTGAATATTTATTGATCTTTTGTTTATTTAATTACTTCCAGTTCATAATTTTTCTCATTGACAAAATTTGAATCAGGTAAAAAAACGATTAACACAATAGAAAATAACATATCATCTACTATCAGAAAAGTCATTATAATACAAAGAATATACACACTGGTTTTTTTTTAATGATTACAACTATTATGTTAAGATTGTAATCAGCTGACGAGAAACCATGAATCAATCAATGTTAGACAACCATTAGAAACCTGGAAGCACTGGACGGCCGTCTCGTCCTGGTATGGGACTCCTCAGCAGTGCGCATCCACGACTCCTGCATCCCGCAGGATTCGAACACAGGACCTTCGGTATTGTGCGCGAACGCCCCAACCGATAGACCACTGGACCGGCACCTAACTGTGTTAATGTCTAACTTGATCAAATTCACGGGAACATGTGACCAGTGAAGTTCAACCTGTTCGGGTGTAGGCAGTGTCTACCGAAGACTATGTATGAGGTTGCGCAACTCCGTGATATTGATCAAGTTAGACATTAACACTGTTAGATACCGGCTCAGTGGTCTAAGGGTTAGGGCGTTCGCGCACAATACCGAAGGTCCTGGGTTCGAATCCTGCGGGATGCAGGAGTCGTGGATGCGCACTGCTGAGGAGTCCCATACCAGGACGAAACGGCCGTCCAGGGCTTCCAGGTTTCTAATGGTTGTCTAACATTGATCGATTCATGGTTTCAAAAATGTGTAACTTACCAATCATCACAGAACCTGTAATGAGAATTCATATTAGTCCACCTGTTTTGATAATTGTTCTATTTTCAGTCCATTTTATCATTCATTCTCCAATGGCAAAACTACTCTTCCCTAACTTGGTAAGTTCAACTAATCTACTATTATGTACACCATAGTGTTTTTCTCCTCCAGTATGACCGAAACACAAACTAGTTTTTATTCAATATATGGCTCAGAATATCAGTGTAGTGTAGTACAAGTGACATAGAGCTTGATACAAATTTACATCAACCGAAATTTCCATATATAGCAGCACAACGGATACGCGGCAGCAGTATCAGTCAGATGCAACGTAGAACTTCGTACGTAAGTACATCAGTTCATGTCACCATACCACGTCAACACAGAGATGTAATTGTCAATTCAAATCCAATAGTAGAAGAGGTAGTAAAGGTATTAGAAGTAATCGGAGAGGTTAGGGTTAGAAGATACTATTCAAGAAGTATGATTCAGTGAGAAAAGTTTAGAGAGTCGAAACTAGAGGTGTTGAAGAATCCAGAAGATTAGGATTTGAGAGAACACAAAGAATAAATGCACCGGCTCCATTGCGAACGATTTTGAGCCATGTCATTCAAGGTCTCGAACCATCGATTATTATCATCTCGCGGACCCCAACCAGGTAGTCGACAATTACCGACATGGCTAAGTCCACTCGTCAATGACTTCATGGATTTCTGCCATGTTTTGGTTTGGCCGCCCCTAGCTTTCTTCCAACCTATTCCTACACTACAAAACAAGGCTCGACGAGGCAGTCGGTGGTTGGGCATACGCAACACATGTCCCAACCACCTCAACTGATGAAGTGTCACTAACTGCGTCTATTGATCTGCCATTCTTACCTAGCACCCGATTCCTGATAGCAGCGTTGCTCACTCGGGTGTCCCACGATATACGAGCAATGCTTCGAAGACATGTATGATCGAAAACCAGTAACCTACGATAGTAAATTAATAATAAAGTTGTAGTCATCTAGTATTACAGAACAGTTGTATGCATTGGAGATGATAAACAGTGTTTTACTATTACTTAATAGTGTCTTTTACAATCCCTCTAAAATATATTACTTGAGTCTTTCTCTTCCAACATACCAAAAAACAAGTGATATAAATTAATTTTCAGACTCGAGAACGAGCATGTATGAAATATGGTAATATCACGCATGAATATAATAATACCCAGCTGTTGAAAAGTAGAATTTTCTGTATCTCTTGAATAACAATGTATGAATTATTGTACATAAACTTTGTAATGTTTAATTTATGCTGTTCTAAGATTGATTTGCACTAATATCTATCTGTTTATTTTAAGAACATTGAGTAAAATGATTGAAACTAAGGATTATTTTATTTATTTAAGAAATGGATTCTAGTAGCGTTTACAAGTTATTCTGTGATGAAATTCTGATGAAGGAGTAAGAAGCTTTAGTTGATAACTGTCATCATGCTTCATACATAGTGCTGCAGACAGAGGACTTTAAAAAAGTAACGTATCTGAATAAGTACGGGTTTATGTAACCGTATTAGGTGATATGTCACGTAAGGACTATCGTTTCTATACTGCACGGTAAAGCCTCGCCGACTGGCACTATCGGCACATTAGCTACGCCTGATGCTCGCTTCGATTGTGTTCATATTGACATTGTAGGACCATTGCCACCATCGCATTGGTATGATCACATACTCACGTGCATCGATCGTTTCACAAGATGGACCGAAGCTATTCCCATCACTTCTATTACGGTGGAAACAGTTGCTCACCGCTTCGTAGAACGATGGATAGCGCATTACGGTTGTCCCTCGACTGTCACAACTGACTGAGGACAACAGTTCGAGTCCGAATTATTCTCCTCGCTAACCCGGCTGCTTGGTACGGAGCGCATACGCACTACCGCCTACCACCCAGCTTCGAATGGTTTAGTTGAACGGTTTCATCGCCAACTTAAAAGTGCTCTTCGAGCACACGAAAACAACAATTAGTACGAAACCTTACCGCTCGTCCTCTTAGGTATTAGAACGAACTTAAAGGCAGATATTCAATGTTCCGCTGCTGAACTGGTATACGGCACGACATTGCGTCTGCCTGAGGAATTTTTCACACCACGGAGCAGTAATAACTTCAATAAATCAGACTACGTCCAAGGATTGTCTGAATTTATGCGAATGCTGCCTCCGGTGTCAGCATTGACAGGTCGCTCTCCTTCGAGAGTTATTTACCTGTTCACATGTTTTCATAGGAGTCGATTCTGTACGCAAACCTTTGCAACAACCTTACGAAGGACCTTTTCACGAAAAGACCTTCAAGGTTGCTCAACGTGGCCGCGTCAAGATCGTCAGCATTGATCGTCTCAAGAGAGCACACGTCGATGACAGTGCCTTACTTGCTAATCCGAGACCCAATGCTAGACCTCTCCAACCTACTAGCGGGATTCTTAAAGCTACTTCGGATCCCACGCTAGACAGATCAGAGACCTCATTCTCACGTCCCAGTCAACAGCACGCGTCATCTGCACTATCTACGGATGAGACTCCGGCCTCACGTCCAGACCAGCAGACCACGCCACCCGTGACTTCGCATGAGATTGCTGGCTAACGAGGTACGCACGAGACTACCGTCTCGCGTTCCGGTCGCTGCGTACGCCTACCTGTACGTTTTCTCGAATAACCACCAATCAACAACGGATACGGTAAAGGATTTTATCCTCATACTACATGCATGCTACACCTTTCACTTTTTCTTTGATTTTTTTATCCTGAGACCACGCTTCCGACCACTGCCCCGTTGGTACTGTCAACTTTAGTCAAACTTGGCGAAAACTGGCCTGATCACCCACACTCTTGTCAATGCACTCAGTCGACGATTCGGCTCCGAATATTTCTGGCATACGTATGGTTTAGAACTTAGTCGCTATGGTTATTTCTGGCTCCCTCGCTCAATCTGGTTCCATCCTGCGTCTGCAGCGTTTCCTCGTCCGAACCCCTACGAACGCAATCTTGAGATTCTGGATACGAGCCACGCTGATGTGGCACATCAACCCGAGCAACAAACTTGGCACGGCAGCGGAAAAACCTTTTGGTGACAACTCGAGCTTCACTAGTCGCTTCCTGTTCGTTAACCCTTCCGCCTTACAATCGAACGTTGGCCGACCAGACCCCCCGAACGTAGCCGCTATGTATTGAAGACGTGAACTCTTTCTAAGGGGGGGGGCTCCTGTAGTGGAACAGTTTTATGAAGAAAACAGTTGCTGAAATAGAAGCACTTATTATTGAACATGTGTAAAAATAAATGTTTTATTGTATGCCTTTTGTTTATCTGTACTGAAAACCATTACTGAAGCGCCAACTCGCCTAGCTACGTGACTTGTCTCGTTAGTGGTCGTTATTTTGCTGTCTGGTTGCACACGTGATATCTTTCTGATATCACACGACATTCTATAAATATCATTATCCAATAACCA